TAGGTTGTGAATTATATTCTCAATCCTTAATTCAAAAACTTGAAATTTTTGCTAGAATGGTGTTTTGGGGTTGTTTAACAGTGTGTGTATGGGGAAGGGGGGGGGGAATTTTTAACTCTCTAATTTTCTCACTTTCAACAACAATCACTCTTCATTTGATCAAAGCTACTAGAATTTGAACATAATGGAATTTCTTAGATGGTTTTGATATATGAAAGATGGTATATCATTGTATATGGAAAATGAAAGTTTTGGCTAACTCTTTAATTCAAAGCTTAGACTTCTCTCTTTCTCTTTATCTCTCTCTTCTTTTTTAAATCCTCCCTCATCTCCTAACAATCTGATGATCATTGTATAAGCAATGGTGGAAGGCTAAGTAAAAAAAAGATTGTGGGAGGCAAGGTGGAAGACATCGGGCCATGAGGTGACAAGGATAAAGCACTTGACCCTTGGTTTAGCTACTCATTTTTTGAAGAGGCAAGTGCTTTTGACAATGGAGGTTGAGTGTACATGCATCTTGTGCATGAATGTATCAGAAATATTTAAGGTGGCATGTTCCACACGCATTAAACAAGAATTTTGTCGAAACTGTCCTGTTCCTGAACAAATTAGCCAACCAGCTAATTTCTTGGCTAGCCGGCCAAAATATTGGCCTTGGCTTGACTATTTTGCACGAAATAAGATTTTTCGACAGAATTATCATCCTTTCCTCTTATTTCCACACTATTCTTTGCTCAATTTCTTGAGAAACACATTTTATTTTGAAATTTAAAAAAATAAGCCTCGGAAAAGTATGGAAATGCTCGGAACAAAGCGCGAAAAAAAAGTTTAGAAAGAGAAAACAAGCTTAGGGTCAAGGATAAGACTTGAATTCCATCTTTCTTAGTAAAGATGTTGTGAGAAACAAATTTTTATTTTTATCATCGAGTAATCAAAAGAAAGCGCCCAAATCTTAGAGTTGGTCAAAATTGGGTGTCTATAATAGGGTGTACCATTTGCCTTCCATGCTTATGGCCAGTAAAATACGAATTATGTTATTATTGCCATGAAAAGGTGTACCATTTACCTTTCGTACCTATGTTCGGTAAAACAAGAGAGTACGTGTTATTACTCTATTAATTATCTTTTGGCTCTTTACATAAATATATATATATATATATACATATATTGTGGTAGGTGTTTCATTTGCGTTTGTACTTTAGGCCATAAAATATGATTGATGTATTGGAAGTGTAATTGGGATTTTGTTATAAACTGTGTTTTGAGTTTTGAAAATCCTTTGAAATGGAGATGATGAATTGTAAAGATAAATTAAAATGAGGTTTTTCTTTGATTGATGAAGAAGATTTTTAAGGAAAAGATATACATATGTATGTATTCTTTGATTATAAAAGCCACATTACTTATATAGTATGAGGCGAAGCATTCATGATCTTATCTATCTATTTGTCATTATTGTCTTGAGTCATTGGAATTTCTACTGGATATATGTTCATCTCACTTTGATAACTTTTCAAGTATTGTAACGCTCTTAAAAAAATCCATAATTCATACATTCTTGACATGCTTAAACATAAGAGAATGAAGCATAATTACATTTCATCAGAGTATTCATTACAAAATGTATTACATGTTGACAACAAAAGTAAATGCCTTATAGGCTTACAACTTTCCAAGTCAACACCTGGTTACAAAAAGGGAGAGTACTAACTCTACACAAAATAAGCCCTTGGCTTGATATACATGTAATACAACAAAAAGAACGACAAAATAAGGTCAAACAGCCTCAAGCCTCCCAAGTTACGTCCTTGGAGGTGGCATGCTACCTGTACCTGAAAATGATGTCCCATATAGGGTGAGCCAACACCCAGTAGAGATATGCTAAACATAATATGAGCAATAACTAAAACATTAGCATTTGATAAGTGTTTAACTCACATAAATCAATTTACAACCTGTTTCAATTACATGACAAAAGTGTCCATGTTTCATTCCATTTTCTCAATTCATCACTATGGCTCAGAACCTGGCCAAACAATTTAAATGAGAATGTATCTCATATTAAAGCATTATCCTTATCCATAATTTATTTTCAGATAAGATATCACTCATATTAAAACACTTCCACAATTCACAAGAGATACATATTTTTGCTGTATCAATATCACATTAACACTTCCACACTTCATAAATGATACACAGATTCGCTGTATCCATTACATCAAAAGATACACATTTTTGCTGTATCCATGGAGCCCATCCCCTATCTCCTCCCAAATGATATCCGGTTTAGGAGTCCATCCCCTATCTTCCCCTAAACCGTGGAGTACATCCCCTATCTCCTCCTACACAATACAGTGTATATAAATACGTATCATACACATAATCATTCAATACATAAATTTGATGTATTAACCGAACCGTCATATCCGATGACATATTCATTTGATTAGTTTTAGTTTGCCTAATCATCATGCATTCTCTACAACAATCAAGACTATCCTCCACCGATAGCCCAAAGCAGTTATTTCTAAACAGATAATAATTACATTAACAGATAATTTATCAATAAGTTTCAAAGGTGAGTGATTAATAAATCCAACTCCACCATTCCGTCTCATATTATACCAATTCCACTAATTCCAACTCAATTTCATGCTCCCAAAATTCCCAAATTAATTACATGAATTAATTTGCCATAACAATTTAGGGCTTTTTCCCCTATTTCTCAATATTGACCCAAAGGCCCAAAATAGTTTCAATAACTTCAATACTACCATTTTAAGACCCAAACCACACATTTACGAGTCAAGACCACAAAATCCCTCTTTTGAAAATAACACATTTTAAACCTTAACTTTCCAAATCAACCCATCTATACAAATAACTCAATGTCTATGTTAAAGCACATAAGAATGAGTGAGAATCCCTACCTTAAACTCGGAGCTCAAAGGAAGGAGATGATGAAAACTCGAAGTGCTTTAAATTCCAAAATTTTCGGATCAAAAGATAGCCCTCAACGATCCACACAATTTTTACAAAGGCCAAAGGTGAGAAAATCACTCATACTAGATCAATCCCTAGAGAGAAGGTAAGGTTTTAGAGTGAGGTGCTCTCCAATGAAGGTTTTGAAAAAGTAAGAGAGAGAAAGGAAATCAAAAAGTGATCCAAAAAGTGAAATCTCAGAGTATTATAAAAATCGCCCCGCTCAAGCGTGGAAACCCCAGCTCGAGCGTCAGACACAGACTCACGCTCGAGCGTCAAAAGCGCCGCTCGAGCATCGATTGCACACCTGCAGAAGTTTTGCAGACATGGTCCCCGCTCGAGCATCAAACTCCCCGCTCAAGCGGAGGAACAAAATCAAAGGTTCACACTCGAGCGTCAAAACTCCCGCTCGAGCGTATGAAGACTCGTAGAGAAAATACTAGGAGATCGATATTCACGCTCGAGCGTCAAAACTCCCGCTCGAGCGGAGAAGCAACAACGAAGGGCCCGCTCGAGCGTCAAAAGCTCTGCTCGAGCGTGAAGGCCAAATTCTGGGCATCAACCTTTGGTTTCAAAGCACAGCCAACCTGTTTCAAACCTGCCCAACACAACTCAAGACTCAAATATAAGGAGTAAAGGATTCAAATGAGAAAGTGACAACAACACATCCACAGAGCCGAGTCCGGAATACAATAAATAAAGAGAGGATAAACCAGGATCGCTATAAGTACAAAGTTGAAGATTAATTTAAGATTAGAGGATCTCCCTTATTTGTTGGCGTGCCTTGTAATGTAAAGAGGGTTAAGCCCTTTTCTTTATGTTGTAATGTAAACCTGTGGGCAACTTCATTTAATTGTACTACATTTTGCATGAAATGTATGAATGAGAGGGAATCCTTATTATTCATTAATGTAAATGATTATTGCTTTTACATATATCTTTATGAAAAGGGTAATATTAGAGATACAAAATTTTCTTCCAAATGAATGACCAAATGTCTCACATGGGTGTAGGGTTCACAAAAAGTGTGAACCCCACATCCGTGTGAGACATTTAATCATTCATTTAGTAGAAAATTTGGGGACTATAGCATTTTCCTTATGAAAATTGATTAATAATAACGGATGCGGTAATATTATTTGAGTAATAAAAGTCTGGGCGTAACATGTGAGTAGTAAAAGTCGGGGCGTGATATGTATTGAATATAGTTCTCCCTAGCCTAGTCAGGTTACCCAACCTAATTATAAACCTTTTCATCCATATTTTTTTGAAAAGAAAATTAGTAAACAATTCACTCTAACAATTGTCTAAGATATTAGGTCCAGTGATTTTTTTTTTTTTTTTTTTGTTGGTGATAGGTCTACACTTTTTGAAATAGTTTGGTGAAAAGTCTTAGAAGACATTTTGTTTCTAATTTTACCTCTTGATTTTTTTTATCTATTTGACTTTTCGTTAACTATCTATTCAAATTCATATCTATCTTTTCAAATTTTTTGTCTATTTGCTCAATTTTTTTTTTTTGTCAATTTGTTCAATTTTTTTTGTTTATCTGTTCAATTTTTTGTGTAAATTTTCCATTTATCCAAATTTTATCTGTGCAAATTTTCTATTTGTCCAAATTTTACCTGTCCAATTTTTTATCTGTTCAATATTTTTATCTGTTCAAATTTTCTATCCAAATTTATCTGTACACCCGCACTGGTTGGTAATTAAAAAAGAAAAATGTTGATACTCAAATGAATGTAAAATGCTTCATATCACGACCAGGAGAGAACTTGGTTCACAAGCCTTTTTTCCGAAGTAAGAACTGACAAGAATTGGAAATAGTTATAAATTATTAAAACTGGTTCTTTTAATCTGATAGTTCCTTCGATGACATCTGCCAACAATAGTGAAAAATAAATCTATTTAAAAAATCTCAAAAGTGCTTTGTTTGGTTTGTAAAAAAAAAAAGTAGCCAAATTTCGTTAGTTCAATCAGATTTCCACATTTTCTCGGCAATCAAACAAGTAATCTCACCAAAGAGTAGTCAATAAGAGAAAAATAAACACCAGAATGGGGACATTGCCTTCGAACTTGTTGAAACGAAGATCTAAGAACTTCAGACTCGGCAATTTTAGAAACACCCGAAGGAATTTTCCAGCGAACTGTTGTTGCTGAGATCGAGCTCGAAGAGAAGCTTCAAGTTCTTGAACTTGTGAGGGCCTGTGCCGCAGAATCGATTCGAGTTGATGTGCAACAATGCGAGATCTGTGAGGAGTCCGAGCTCCTTCGGGAAGTACCCGGCGATGTCGCCGTGGTTGAGATCGATGCCGGCAACGGTGAAGATCGATGAGTTGTTCGGCGCTAGAGAGCAGAAACTCCGGTGGAGTTCCGACCCAATCGGTTGTGAGGTTTTGGGGATCGGAGAATATGGCTTCTTTCCAAGCTTTGAGAGCAATGTAGGCTGTTCGGAGACGAGGGTTTGGGAAGACCAAAGATGGATTAACGGTCACAAACTCGCCTCTGTCTCCGAACTCATCTCTGTAATACAAGAGCTGTCTTTGCTTGATGTACAGAGCTTCGGAGTCGATGAGGACGCCATTGATGGCGAAGTCGTAATGAGAAGTAGCAGAAGACATAAAGAATAAGAGAGAGAAAAGGAAGAAGTGTAGAGAGAGAATGTGGGAGAAGAAATGGTGGGTGGAGGTGGCGGTTTTGATTTCTTCAGCAAAGAGAAATGAATAAAAGCGAGAGCGGAAGTGTATGGGTATGTTGGTCATCGTAAGATAGGTTGGGCTTGTTTGGAAAAAAATTTTTTTAATATTTTTTAGATTAAAATTCATAACAAGATAAAATAGTCTAAAATAGTTAATAATATAGTGATCCCAGTTTTCCCTTTTTGTATCTGTTGTATCCCGGACTCTGGCTCCGTGGATTTGGTTATTGTTAATCTTGTTTGTCGTCCTTTGATTCCATTTGTTTGAGTCTGAGGATGTTTTGGGCAGGGTTGTTACAGGTTGGTTAAGCCTTGGTTTCAATTCCTTGTTGCCTAGTTTTTAGACGGTCTGCTCGAACGGGTCTTCTTGCGCTCGAGCGGATATTGCACACTCGCAGTATTTTGGTGCTCTGCAAAACTTCTGCAAGCATGTTTTTCACGCTCGAGCGGGTTTATTTACGCTCAAGCGGTCGCGCTCGAGCGGGTACGTTGGCGCTCGAGCGGGTCGTTCTTTGTCTGTGGAAGTTCTGGGAGGGGGAAATCTACACTCGAGCGGACTGGTTTTCGCGCTCGAGCAGATGTACTTTATTCTTGTGTCTTGGCGCTTGAGCGGGCCTTCTTACGCTCGAGCGTGTCCAGATTTTCGTGCTTGACGCTCGAGCGTTGTGTTTTTCGCTCGAGCGGGAATGTCATATATCAGAAGGCAGTTGGGCATTTCTAAATCACTTTTTACATCCTCACTCTCTCTCTTACTTTTCAAAAACGCCATTTGAGAGCTTTTCTCTCTAAACCTTGCTTTTTCTCTAGGTATTGATCTAGTAAGAGTTGTTTCCTCACCTTTGGCCTTTACAAAAAAGTTGTTGATCGTCGAGGGCTATCTTTTGATCCAAGAATCTCGGGATTTGGAGCATTTCCGTTTTCTTCACCTTCTTCGTTGGGTGTCAACTTTGGAGGTAGGGATTCCTACTCACAACTATGGGTTTTGACCTAAATTTTTGAGCACTTTGTTAAATGGTTTGATTTTGGGATCTAGGGTTTCAAAATGTTAAAAGAGGGTTTTGTGATTTTGATTCTAAAATGTGTATTTTTGGTTTCAAAATAATGATATTGTTGTTGGTTGATGATATATAGACCATTGGGTCAATATTGGGAAATGGGGTAGAAAATCCTAATTGGTTGTATAAATTAATTGGTGTGATTAATTTGGGAAAATTGTGGTTATATGGAATTGAGTTGGAAGTAATGAAATATGGCTCATTATATAGTAGAATAGTGGAGTTGGATTTATTAATCGTTCACTTTTGAAAACATTGATATTTTATCTGTTGGAGCTTTTATTATCTGTTTAGAAATAATTGCTTGGGCTACCGGTGGAGGGTAGTTTTGATTTTTGTAGACAATACATGATGATTAGGAAAACTAAAACTAATCAATTGGTTATGTCATAGAGTATGACGGTTGATAGAATACATTAACGTTATGTATTGATTGATTGTGTATATGAACTATGTGTATATATGTTGTGTGTGGGGGGGGGGAGGAGATAGGGGATGTACTCCACGATTTAGGGGAAGATAGGGGATGGACCTTTAAACCGGATGTTGTTTGGGAGGAGATAGGGGATGGACTCCACTGATACAGCTCATATGCTTGTCAGTTAACGTGTTGATACAGCTCATATGCTTATCTATGGAAGTGTTGATACAGCTCATATGCTTATCTTTGGAAGTGTTGATATATCTAATATGCTTATCTGTTGAAATGTGGATACAGCTTGTATGCTTATCTGTTGAGATGTTGATACAACTAGTATGTTTATCTATTGTAAAATGGGGAACGTTTAATATGAGTCACTATCTCATATAAGTGGTTGGCCAGGTTCTGAGCCGTTGATGTAAATTGTGAAATCGATGAGAAATGTAAAATGAAATGAAACATGAACACAGTGGTCATGAAATGAAAATGGGTTATGAATTGATTTATGAAAATTGAACATTTATCAATTGCTAATGTCTTAGTTATTGCTCATACTGTGTTTAGCATATTTCTACTGGGCGTTGGCTCACCCTATATGGGACATTATTTTCAGGTACAGGTAGCATGCCACCTCCAAGGACATAGCTTGGATGATGATGAGAGTTGAAGACTCTTTTGTTTATTTGTTTGTATTACATGTACATCAAGCCAAGGGTTTGTATAGAGTTAGTACTCTTCTTTTGTGTAACCAAGTGTTGACTTGGAAAGCTGTAAGCCCATAGGGCATTTGCTTTTGTTGTTAACATGTAATACTGTTGTAAGAACTACTCTGATGAATAGAAATGGTTGGTTTCTTTTATATCAATGCATTTCTATAGTGATGGGTTTTATGTATTATTTTGAGGGCGTTACAAATAAGATAAAATATTATATCAAATTCATAATTATTTTACTTTTTCTCTTACAAATATTACTTTCTAAATATAAAAATTTTAATCTACTACAATAGTAATTTCCCAAACACCCACTTTGTCTTTATGGGCATAACAAATAAACGTGAATCTTTGGCAAGAAAAATTTAAATTTAAATTTTTGATCCAAACATCCTTTTTTTAATAGAATTATGATTATAAAATTCTAATAAAATTAATTAAACAAATAAAATACCTTGCGAGTGTATATCTCAGATAATTAGCATGCCTAACCACCAAAATCATACAAATTATATCATCAGCACGTCCAAGAATCAAGATAGAGTAATATGACAATACATTTCAGTTTATTACGGCCTCACGTGTTCAAATATATATACCTCATTACTTATACAGCTACAGATAGCTGAATAGTTTTCCAATAAGCACACTAATGAAGTAATTGTTGGAAAAATGGTGTAACAAAGCCTTATTTTGGGCTATTTTTGAGTCCAAAATTGAGTGGACCCCAAATGTCTTTTGGGGTGGGTCCGAAGAGGTGAAGTGTTCCTTGCCACGTGGCAAGTCACACGGTGAAGACGGTTCGTCAAAACCATTTATGAGTGAATGGGAAGTTGGCGTCTTTTTCGGGTTCATGGAATGAACATTTAAAGATTTAAATGTGGGTTTCCTTTTAATGGGTTGTCCCACATTGAAACTTTAAGAGAGTTTCTTTGTGTATATAAGCTCTAGACTACAACACTTGGGTTGGACCCTAATGGGCACCCCAAGTTTGTAGAAGGGAGGAGTTATGGATAAAGTGAACCTTAGCCCAAACCACCACACGCGCGCACGCTGCCACCGTGTTGGGCGTGGTTGTGGGTCGGGTCGGTTCTAACTTTAATTTTTTGGACAAAATTCTTTTGAATTTTTTCAAAAAATCATTACAGGAAATTATTTGTATTTCAAATTTAAATTTGAAATCAGATTTTTGTGTCCATATATTGTGCCTTTTTCAGAACTATTCCATAACAGGTTAATACAGTTGCACCCAGACAGATTCAAATTCTATTCTGTCCAGGCAATTTCAGCAACAGATATGTTCTACAGCAGTTAATCTGTTCAAAACAGGTTGCATCTATTCACTTTCAAAATTGCATCTATTTGGTAGTTTCATACCTATTCGGATTTTCTGGACAGGTTTATTACTGCTGAGTTTCAAACAGATTGGAAAATAAGACTGCTAGGAGTTCTGGGAAGTTATATAACTGCTACAGTTTGCATATCTGTTTAAATTCAAATCTGAATCTGTTGGACAGATTCACACCTGTTCGGACATAACTTGTTGTGTCTATAAATACCAACATTCCAGCAGTGTTATAGGATCTGAAAATCAGTCTGAAATGTTCATCTTGCAATCATCTTTTGCTCCTTTGCATTTATAATCTTCATTCTAGTTTTAGAATAAATTTCAGAGTGTTAGAACACATGTTTGGTTCGCCGTACAATTTGTTTTGGAGTGCTACTACAAATTGGTTAAGATCATTGTATCTTGAGAGATAGACGCCACATAACCGTAAGCACCGTAGTGGGGCAAATCTATCTTAAGGACAGAGTGTCACACAGTCGATTTGGTCTTTTATTTTTCATTTGGTTCGACAAAATAAATTCTGCAAGTTATTTATTTATTTTGTTTGAATTAGTCTCAATTTATTTTATTTACACAGAAGATTGTTTCAACAATCTTAAGACAGATTCGAATTATTCTGTTTACATAATTTTTCGTTTGTTTCTTTTTCTCTTTCTTCGTTTACAAAAATTATTTTATGTGGATTTACAAAATAATATTCTGGTTGGAAAAAAAAATAGTGATTATATACTATTTGACAGATAGTAGTAATATGTTGTCTATTTTCTTTGACAACTAGTAATAATATACTGGCGTCATTAACAATTTAGAATATTTATTTGTGGAATTTTTTTTTTCAGAAATTAATTTTGGTTTTCAGAAATTATTTCTGAGTGTTCATTAATTAAAATTCTGTTTCAGTTTTTTAATTATTGAAGTGTTACCTAAATTTAATTTTTTGTGTGAAATTAATTTGGTTAAGTAAAACGAAGATCTAAGAACTTCAGACTCGGTAATTTTAGAAACACCCGAAGGAATTTTCTGGCGAACCTGTTGTTGCTGAGATCGAGCTTGAAGAGAAGCTTCAAGTTCTTGAACTTGTGAGGGCCTGTGCCGCAAAATCGATTTGAGTTGATGTGAAACAATGCGAGATCTGTGAGGAGTCCGAGCTCCTCTGGGAGGTACCCGGTGACGTCGCCATGGTTGAGATCGATGTTGGAAACGGTGAAGATCGAGGAGTTATCCAGCGCCGGAGCGCAGAAACTCCGGTGGAGTTGCAAACTCCAGATCCGACCCAATCGGCTGTGAGGTTTTGGGGATCGGAGAATATGGCTTCTTTCCAAGCTTGGAGAGCAATGTAGGCTGTTCGGAGACGAGGGTTTGGAAAGACCAGAGATGGGTTAACGGTCACAAACTCGCCTGTCTCTGAACTCGTCTTTGTAGTACAATAGTTGTCATTGCATGATGTAAAAAGCTTCGGCGTCGGTGAGGATGGCATTGACGGCGAAGTCGTAATGAGAAGTTGTAACGCCCTCAGAAGGGCCCGCT